GTACATGGTGGTGGCACCAGACAGCACTGTGTTAGCATACAGGTCCTTGCGGATGTCTACGTCACTCTGTATGATGGAGTTGAGGGTGGTCTCGTGGATGCTGCAGGATTCTATGCCCAGGAAGGAGGGCTGGAACAGTGCCTCCTCTGGACACTGGAACTGCTCGTTGCCAATGGTGATCACCTGGCCATCAGGCAGCTCATAGCTCTTCTCCAGGGAGGAGGAGGATGTAGCAGTGGCCATCTCCTGCTCAAAGTCCAGGGTAACGTAGCACAGCTTCTCCTTGATGTCGCGCACAATCTCCCGCTCAGCTGTGGTGGTGAAGCTGTAGCTGTGCTCCATGAGGATCTTCATGAGGTAGTTAGTCAGGTCCCGGCCAGCCAGGTCCAGATGCAGGATGGCATGGGGGAGGGTGTAGCCCTCGTAGATGGGCACCGTCTCCATGTGGGTGACCCCGTCTCCAGAGTCCATGACAATACCAGTGGTATGACCAGATGTGTACAGGGAGAGCATGGCCTGGATGGCCACATACATGGCCGGGGTGTTGAAGGTCTCAAACATGACCTGGGTCATCTTCTCTCTGTTGGCCTTAGGGTTCAGAGGGGCCTTGGTCAACAGCACCGGGTGCTCCTTGGGGCCACACACAGTTCGTTGTAGAACGTGTGGTACCAGATCTTCTCCATATCATCCCAGTTGGTGACAATGCCATGCTCGATGGGATACTTCAGAGTCAGGATGCCTCACTTGCTCTGGGCCTCGGCGCCAACGTAGGAGTCCTTCTGACCCGTGCCTACCATAACGTCCTGGTGTCGGGGACACCTGATGATGGAGGGGAACACGGCTCAGGGAGCATTATCCCCCGCAAAGCCAGTTTTGCACATGCCAGAACCATTGTCAATGACAAGTGTGGTGGTTTTGCCTTCCTTTGCGATGGGGGAGATGCGGGGCGACAGGGTGACAGGTGAAAACAGAGCACAGGCCAATGGCAGCAAGTGAGCGGCAAAGTTAATCTTTACCTGGAGTATGCATTTCTCAAAACATAACTTCTACTTTCTCATCATTGTATTAAAGTTTAGGAACAAGATAACAATGGATTTCTCCGGGATACAGCTTCTACTTCTTCCTCATCATGTCAGGGTTTAAAAACAAGATAAAAAATGGCTTTCCACTCTTGGTCTGTCCTTTCAGCAAGGACATAAACCAGTATGTATAATGTCTGTAAGGTAGATATTGGTTCAGCCTAGAAAGGTGGGACACTTTCATGGAGTGGGAGGATTATCAGGTCACAGATGGATTAAAAGATTTTTCGATCGGCGATTGGTTGAAAAAGTTAAGCTCTAGCTAAAAAATTTGAAGTCAGTAGAAAGAAATGCTGAGTTAAGATAAGGGAGGCTATATTATGCAGTCATAAAGGACAAAATTAAGAACTTTGCAGCAACTTGGATGAATTTAGAGTCTATAATACTGAGTGATCTATCACAGAAACAAAGAACCAAGTATCACATGTTCTCACTCATAAGTGAACCCTGAACAACTATAAGAAAGAGATTGGTGCCAGGGGGTTCAAGACCAGTCCGAGCGACTTGATGGGCTCAGGCAATCCTTTTGCCTCAGCCTTCTAAAATGCTGAAATTACAGGCGTGAGCCACCATGCTTGGTTGAGTTTGGCATCTTTCATCAACAAAAGCAAAAAGAAGCTTAAATGAGAAAGGGCTAAAAATCACAAAAACCACATATATAAAATTACTTTCATGTCCTAACCCTTGGGGGAAGGGCAAGGATAATCAACATATTCTTTCTTAAACAATGAATCTGAAACTGCTTGAGGAGAAAAGAAGTCATTGAAAGACAAAATTGAGCTGTGGACCTTGGCTCAGGCCTGTAATCCCAGCACTTAGAGGCTGAGGCAGGAGGATTGCTTTAGCCCAGGAATTCGAGATCATTGTAGGCAAGATAGGAGACTTCATCTCTACAAAAAAGAAAAATATAAGCCAGGCATGGTGGTGCACACCTGTAGTTACAGGTACTCAGGAGGCTGAGGCGAAAGGATCACTTAAGCTGTGAGCTTGCACTGCACTCCAGCCTGGATGACAGAGTAAGATCTTGACTCAAAAAAAAAAAAAAGGAAAAAAAAGAAAGACAAAAGTGGCTTCAATCTCCAGGGACCCCACTTTCTCCAACACTTTCCTCTTGGACTCCTCCATAATGGCTCAGGGTCAGGGGATAATACCTGTTGGCCAAGAGACTTGCATCTATTATAAACTAAGAATGGCATTTGAGACTGTTTTCAGACTGTATATTCTGATGCATCCCAACCAGGCCAGAACACCAGGTAGTCAGCTTAACCAGTCTATGAAATTATCTTTCAGAAACTAGCTCTAAATCAGGAAGATGGTCTCCACCCTACGACATTAACAACCAATCAGTAGCCCTATCTTTCTGCCTGCCATGCTCCGTTTAAAAATTCTATTCTCTAAATCTTCAAAGAGACAGATTTCTGAGATTTCTCCCACTCTCCTCACTTAGCTACTTTGTGATATTAAAACTTTTTCTGTCAGGTGCAGTGGCTCATGCCTATAATCCCAGCACGTTGGGAGGCTGAGGCGAGAGGGCTGCCTGAGCCCGTGAGGTCAAGACAGCCTGAGCAACTTGGTGAGACCTCATCTCTACAATAAATAAATAAATAAATGAAAATTATCCCGGCATGATGGCACGTGCCTGTAGTTCCAGCTACTTGGAAGGCTGAGGCAGAAGGATTGCCTGAGCCCACCAGGTCAAGGCTGCGGTGGACGGGAGCGAGCCATTGCCCTCCAGCCCGGGTGACAGAGTGAGACTCCAACTAAAACAAACAAACAAACAAACAAAACTTTTCCCATTGTGTTAGCAGTGTTGGTTTTGTTTATTCTGGGCAGCGGACATAAGAACCTGATTTGGCTGTAACAAACAGAAGGAGAAAAAGGATTGAAAGATAATATTCTAAAAAATGAGAGACAGAGAAATGATGCCTACTGTGTGACATAGGATTTATAAATGACTATTTGCTTGATTGGAGTAAGAGATCTTACCACTTTATTATAAAGTTGGAGAAAACAGAATGACTATGAGAAAGAAAAGAAGCTTAGAGCAGTTTGAATAATGTGAAGTATGCAAAATTTATCACGCCCAGATATAGACACCAACAGAGACATGAGAATGAGACTTCATTTACATCCCATTCCCACCTCCACCTTCACCTCCATCCCAACACCATGTCTGGAGTAAATAGTTTAAAAGCTGCTCTTAGGTTGCAATCCTCAAGCTTGCCCCAAGTAAGCTCTCTCCTTATATTAATTTTGCCTCAGCTTCTTCCTTTGAGGTCAGCAAATTAATTCTAGAAGGGGATATTATCATTTTAATTTTTATTTATTTTTTGAGTTTTTGTTGAGTTGGAGTCTCACTCTGTCACCCAGACTGGAGTGCAGTGGCCGCTCCCGGCCACCGCAGCCTCGACCTGCTGGGCTCCGGTGATCCTTCCACCTCAGCCTTCCAAGTAGCTGGAACTACAGGTGCATGCTACCACGCCCAGCTAATTTTTAAAATTTTATTGTAGAGATAAGGTCTCACCAAGTTGTCCAGGCGAGTCTTGAACCCGCAGGCTCAGACAATCCACTTACCTCAGCCTCCCAAAGTGCTGGGATTACAGGCTGAGTCACCGAGCCTGGCTATCATTTTAATTAAAAAAAAAAATTTTATTTTAAAGATGTGGGGCACAATTCAGGGTTAGGTATACAAATGTTCATTATGCAGGTACCCTTGTGAGGAAGTTATTAATTTTATTATATTTTACAGGTGAGAAAACTAAGACACAGAGTAGTTAACTAACCTGTCCAAGCTAGTGGTATAGCCAGGATTTGACCCACAGTTTGACCCACAGAACCACTATTTGCTTGATTTCAGTAATAGTATCCACCACATAGAGTTGTCAAGATTAAATTTGTTAATACACGTAAAGCTCTTGGAACAGCTTACCCACATGAAGCAAAAATTGTGCAAGTTTTTTTTTTTTTTTTTTTTT